TTTTTCTTTTTCTTTTTTTTTTTAAATATTTTTTTTTTTTAACTCACTTTTTTTTTTTTTTTTTTTGTATTTTATTTGCAGATATTATTGTCATTTTTTTCATCATTGGGTGGCGCGGCAGCGTTACTTTTATTACTCGTACCAATAGGCAGAGTTACCGTGGAATTTCCAGAGAGAGTTATAATGGATGCTAATTGCAATGGAAAAAATGGTCAACTAATCTATTCCATGAGTCAAAATCATCCTTGCGAAACCGATTTGAGCTCGGAAATTGCTACAAGGATAGAGAGTTGTGGGTAAGAATTACATTTCGTTATTAAAAAAAAAATATATATATTTATTATATATATACATATATAATTTATTTAAAGATTAAATCTATTAAATAATATCATATATATATATATATATATATATATATATGCATATAAAAAATTTCTATCACATTGTAATCGTTATTATAAATTTAATTGTAAGTCTAGTATAATATATATATATATATATTTTATTATTTTTTAATTATCGTAACATATGTATAATAACTATTAATTATTATGTATATATATATATATGTATATGAACGTATAATTCAAAAAGAAAATTGTAATTGGTTATTACGAGATGATAACTGATGATGATGATGATGATGATTCGACCAAAAAATAATTAGTTATAATTTATTATTACATATTATTTTCTTATCTTTTATTTGGATTCTTTTTTTTTCTATTTTTTTTTTATTCATTTTTTTCTTTTTTTTTTTTTTTTAATTTGTTCTCTTTGCGCGTCTCATTTTAATTCGTTCAATTTTTGTTTCTTTCTTTTTCTTTTTTTTTTTTTGGTATAAATTAAAAATTCTAATTTTCTTATTTCTTTAATTTTAATTTTATTTTTTTTTTTAATTTGTTCTCTTTTGCATGTCTCATTTTAATTTATTTACTTGGTTTATCTCTTTTTCTTTTTTATTTATATAAATTAACAATTCGTATTTTCTTATTTATTAAATTTTAATTTTTTTAATTTGTTCTCTTTTGCATGTTTGTCATTTGAAATTCGTTCAATTGCTGCTATGTTATTTTTCTTTTTCTTTCTATTTGTATAAATGAAAAAATATAATTGTTATCTGAATAGAATAAAGATGTTTTTTAGGTACTCCTGTCACATAGATGAACAAAATGAAAATGTTACACAAGCCCTTTTAACTTCGAGATTGTTTACAATCATGAGATACGATTTTAAATTAGGTATTAACGATTCATACAAATACACTGCCTCTTTAAGCAACATACCACAGGTATTTAGATTTTATTAATCATTATAATAATTTCAGTTTCTATATTTTGTTAATTATTTATTTTTCTTTTTTTACAGGATATCGGACTAATACAAGACATGAGATTAAATCGTAAATTGAAGAACAACGAATTCTTCAAAACTTCAGTCAGACGTTTGTCAAAGAACAATTATTTTTTTCCAACAAATCACCTTTACGAATTTTCTTGTAAACCTTCAACCATTTTAGAGGATCTTGATTCAAATGAAATTTACGAAAATCAAACTCTTTGTACTTTTGGTCAATTTATTAATCCGTCCAAGGTAAAACAAACAAACAAACAAACTTATAATATTTAATTGCATTTAACATAAATATAAAAAAAAATAAATACACACGTACACGTATGATTACATTATTATTACATATATATATAATAATTATTTGTTTATAGGAAAAAACAAATTTAACGAAAACTCGACAATCTTATTTATCCAAATTAAATAAATTAGAATTGACAGATGACGATATTACAGAAGAAAGATTAAAATTTTTAGCAAACGAAGTATCCTGGAATGGTGAAACGTTTGAAAAAGCAATATGTCAAAATACAAATGAAAATGATCAAAAGATAATAGTAAAAGTACCATTACTCGATTATGCACAAAGTCCAGAACCATATAAAATATTAAATATTGAAAATTGTGTTAAAAAATGTCTCGTTAGTATGCCTAGAAAAGAAGTATGTTCAAATATGAATATGCAAGTTGAGTATAACATAACCTTAACGTTTTGGTTATACCTAGTGATCAGAGTATTCATTGGTAAGTATAATTAATTTAATCTTTATAACATTATATCAAAAATAATAAAAAAATATTGAATTGTTTTTAGGAATAATCGGTGGAACAACATTTGCAATGTTTGAAGGAGCAGTTATTGCAATATTGAGAGAACAAGAAGCTGATTATGGTCTTCAAAGAATTTATGGAAGTATAGGTGGTATGATATCATCACCATTATCTGGTCTTTTGATTGATTATGCTAGCAGAGATAAAGGATACACGGATTTTAGGTAAATTCTTTTGATACAAATGTACAATTCACTTATTAATATTTTCATTTACAAATTATGTTCCCTAATAGCACAAAATATTGAATACTAAAAGACATTGTATCTCTTTTTAATATTAAATACACATGTATTCAATATTTTTCAATATTTTGTCCTACTAGGATTGTTATTATTGTTTTCTTCTTCTTCTTCTTCTTTTATAGACCAGCATTTTATTTATACGCCGGTTTGAAACTCATATCAGGTTTATTAATGTTAGCAATTAATTTGGAATTCAAATCACCAGCTACCAACGTTGTCAGTGATGTTTTAACAGTATTAAAAAATGTCGAAGTTGTTGCATTGTTCATAGCATGTTTTATTCTTGGTAAAAACAAATTTATTATTATTATTAATAATATATTTAAGGAATATAAAAAAAGTAATTAAAAGTTGTGTATAATTTCAGGAACCTCTTGGGGATACATCGAGTCATTCCTTTTTTGGTTGATACAAGATTTAGGTGGTTCAAGATCACTCATGGGAATTACCATAACAGTTGGTGGCATCGCAGGAATTCCTTTGCTCGTTCTTTCTGGACCAATCATATCAAAGATCGGTCATGCTAATGTTCTTTTTATTGGTTTTGTCTTTTATGCTGTTAGACTTTGTGGTAAATATTTGTTGTTGTTTTTTTTTTTTAAATAAAAGATTCATTTGGATTTGATAAGAATATATTTAAGTTTAATGTTTATTTATTTATTTATTTTTTGTAGGTTATTCGTTGATATACAATCCTTGGTTTACGTTGATTTTTGAAGCATTAGAATCTGTAACATCGTCTCTCAGTTTTACGGCAGCTGTTACTTATGCAGCTAAATTATCTACTACTACAACAGATACTTCGATACAAGGACTACTAGGTGGACTGTATTACGGTGTTGGTAAGATAATATATTTATTATATAATATATATATTTGTATCTTAACTGTTTGAAGCAAAGAATTTACAAGCAACTCAAAAAACAGTAATGAAACTCTGATTCATTCTTAGGAACATTAACAGCAAGAAAAAAAAGATTTATTTTAATTATTTAAAAATAAATTTGTATTATCATAAACAAAACAATAAGAATACAAGGATTCTTTTGTTTATTCAATTATAAAAATAATTACTTAATTGAAGTTGTGGTTTAATAGTAATTTGAATCATTTGAACATAATCTATTATGTACCATATTTAAGTCACAAAAAAAAGATGGTGGCAGCTCTTAAATTTTATTATGCTTCAAAGAATTAAAAAAAAGAAAAGAAAAGAAAGGAAGAAATAAAAAGAAACTTTGGTTTTTTTCTTTTTCTTTTTATTTAATTATAAAACTAATATCTTTAGAAAGTTGCACTTCAAAAAGTCTAATTGAAATCTCTCAAACAACATATTTAAGTCAAAAAAAAAAGATGGTGGCCACACTCTTAAATACTATTATGCTTCAAAGAGTTAAAACAAAGAAAGAAACTTTGCTTTTCTTTATTATTACTTAATTATCTAACTAATATCTTTAGAAAATTGTACTTCAAAAGTAATTTGTATTTTTCTAACATAACCTATTGTTCATATTTAAGTAAAAAAAAGATGGTGGACACACTCTTAAACTTTATTATGCTTCCAAGTATTAAAAAAAAGAAAGAAACTATGCTTTTCTTTATTATTATTTAATTATCAAACTAATATCTTTAGAAAGTTGTACTTCAAAAGTAATTGAAATCTCTCAAACAACATATTTAAGTCAAGAAAAAGATGATGGACACAATCTTACACATTATTATGCTTCAAACAGTTAAGAAAAAGAAAGCAACTATGCTTTATTTGTTTATTCAATTACAAAACTAATATCTTTAGAAAATTGTAATTCAAAAGTAATTTGAATCTTTCTAACATAACAACCTATTGTACATATTTAAGTACAAAAAAGATGATGGCCATACTTTTAAACTTTTATAATGATTCAAAGAGTTAAAAAAAAAAAAAAAAAGAAAAGAAACTTAGCTTAACAAGTTGTATTTGATATTTTCTTTCATTGAATTCAATTCTTGATGTATACATATATATATATATACATGTTATTCACACAGGTAAAGGATCTGGTAGTTTGATCGGTGGTTATCTGATGAAAGCATTCGGTACAAGACCAACTTATCAGATCTTCGCAGTGACCTCTTTAGTGACCGGTTTAATATACTTCTTCTTCAATGCGTTATATTTGAAGAAAAGGCCACAAGTGGAAGGGAACGACATTGTTAAAAAGAAGCCAAAGACCATGACGACAACGACGACGACGACGACGACAACGATGACGGATAATCAGGATGTTATTGATCGTGTTATCGTTGAGACGATACCATTGGAAGAAAAAAATCAACACCGTGATATTACCAATAATGAAAAAGATCAAATATCGATAAATACCTATGGTGGTAATGTCAATGAAAATTTTGTCAATGATAAAGATGATGCGGTGACCATGAACAATGTTAAAGAAAATTCATTCAAAGATACGAAAGATCTCGAAACGATTAATAATGCAAAAAATCTCGACAATATGGATAAATCATCGTCAACGAATCAGGATAAAGTAGAAAGTGGACAAAATGGTTTGGTTAATCCTAATTTTATCGAGGATCATGAGAATGATCAAAATGAGGATGATGAGTGTAATATTACGATAGAGATACGACCGGATATTTAAAAAAAAAAAGAAGAAAAAAAAAGATTTTTTATTTATTTTTTTTTATTTTATTTTATTTTATTTTTTTTTTAATCAAGTTCCTCTTTAGAGATCTCTCTTCTGTGTGAAATAAAATTTCTTTGTTTTTTTTTTGTTTTTTTTTTTTTTTGTTGAACGAAACAATTTTTCGCATACATGAATGTGAATATAAATGTTTATGGGGGTAGGGGTGTAATTATTTTTTTTATTTATTTTTTTATTAAATAATTTAATACACCGTGGGGTAATTAATTTTTATTATTTTTTAAATAATTCGACACACCCCTTTAATATATTTGAAGAACAAATATATACATACATTTATATATTTATATATAAATATGTGTGTGTATAAAAAGAGAGAGATAAATTTTTACGTCCGTTTTTATAATAAATTGTTAAATATTCAATATCAATTGATAATGTTATTTCGTTTTAATGATTTAAACGAAAGATAATTATTAATAGTATGTAAATTTTATAATATTAATTACTTATGTTATTTGTACATAAAAAAAAAAAAAAAAAATTGTATAGTTATATAAATAATCTATTGATTTTTGTAAATATTGTCCTTAATTAAGGAAACATTGCAAATTTTTATCTCTTATTGATTATATACTATTATTATTATTATAATTATTATTATATATTTAATATAAAATTTCCCTGTTTTTTTTTTGTTTTTTTTTTTGTTTTTTTTTTGTATAATAGTATTCAGATTATTTTATGCTTTAATAGATAATTATGTGTTTCATTAGAAATGGATGATGAGTTTTCCATGAAAACAATAATTCCTGTAAAACCATTATAAATATAAATGATGATTTATTACATGTATCCTTCAAAAATGATCCTTAAATATTATATTAGGTGGACCCAACAAGTAATGGCACATTTTTAACCTCAAAATTCAAAGGAATACAATTTCTAAATAATTTTTTAATTTCAATAGGATAATGTAATTCACAACCTTTTAATTATCAACAACTCTTTGTACCATTTATTATACAAATTATTAATTATTTTTACATATCAGACCACCAATAAAAAAATGAATCGATTTTTTTTTTTTAAATAAAAATATAATATTAAATAAAATTGACATAAGTTGAAACGACATTACTTTCAGGTTCTTCTAATATTTTATTAGATTATATTTTTATATTTTAATGTTAAATTTCTTAAGAACAACAAAAAAAAGTAATTTAATTAAATATTATTTGATTTATGTAATTAGTTTTTTATTTTTTGTATTTTGCTTTTTCTTATTTCTTATCGTTGAAATATCTCTCTGAGTTATTTTGTGTAAGTATAAAAAAAAAAAAAAAAAAAAAAAAAAAAAAAAAAAAACGAAGAAAAAGAAAAATCATTTTCTTACAGAAAGATGATCGTATTAACGTAGATTGTTTGTTTTTATCTTAATTCACACATCGTTATGACAAAATATACATATTTATTTATGTCTTATGTCTGCTGGTAACGGTTAATAACGTTCAAATAGTTTGTGAAGAAAATTAGAGCAATTTTGTTTCATACGTCGTAGTCGTTTCGTTCAATTAGTATCGTCGAGAAGAAAACTATACTTGACGGGATATTTATTGACGAACGTCATTCAAAATTTTGTCAACATATTTTTTTTTTTTTTTTTTAACAGACTGTAACAACGATTTGATAATTTTCAATAATTGAACAACGATTACTTACAATGAATTGTCAAATGATTTATTTTTTAAATAATTACATATAATTATATAGAAATATATAATTATATATTTTAAATAATATATATATATATAACTTAATTTTTTTTAAATTAATATTATATTTATTTATTTTTGTTGTTGCAATTAATTAATTAATATTATAATTTTATTTTATTTTTTTCTTTTTAAATTAATATTATATTTATTTATTTTATATTGTAATTAATTAATTACTAATTAATTACTAATGATATTTAATTTTTGAATTAATAATATATTTATTTTGTTTTTGTAATTAATTAATTAATTAATATTATAATTATGTTTTTTGGTAATTATTATATATATATATATATATATATATATATATATATTTTTTTTTTACAATTAATATTGTAGAATATATAATTAATATTAATTATAATAAAAATATATAATAATTATATACTAAAAATAGAAGATATAATTATCGTAGAAAGTTTTTTTCTAAAAAAAATATTTAAAAAAGTAGAAAAAAAAAAATGAACTACATATGGACAAAATTTTTGCCACTACCACTACCACCCCAATGGTAGGTAGCACCGTTACAGTTACGTTGTCTATATATGAATGCGAGAAGTTCGATGGCATTGACCATTCAACCCATAGAAATCAGTGAAGATGATACCACGAATTTTGGTCGCATTATTAATATTATTCGGTCTTATATCAAACAAATCATTTGCATTGACGTTACCGGAAATAACGTCATACGCGAAAGTATCGAAGAATGGTGAAGAGACGAAAAATACCGGAAACGGACCATTTTCATGGATCACAAGGTTTTTAATCGTTAACACACACACACACACATCTAATATAAATACAATTAACGTACTATCAATTGTGACGATTACAAATATAAACAATTATTATTATTAATATCATTGTTCGATATAAAATCGTGTTACGTTGTTGTAGTTGAAGTAAAATTTAATTTAGAACAAAATAAACAAATACAATCCGCGTTAGTGCGTTAAATAAAATATTATTTTTATTAAGAAACGAATATTATTATTATTATTATTGTTGGAATTAAAATAATTTGCATATATGTATAATTTCTTTTTTTTTTTAAATATAACTTTAATTTTATTTCAAATTACGTAGACAATATTAAATTAATATATAATTATTAAAAAAATTAAATAATATTAATTTAAAATTATTATATTTATTTATAAATATAATTATATTTAATTTTAAAATTAACTAATATTAATTTTTGTACTATTGGAATATAAAATAGTTTGCATATACATATATAGTAAATATATAATTTGGAAAATATCATTTTAATTAATATTATTTTATAAATATATATAATATATATATTTTTAATTAAATTTTAAGGGCATTAGTAAGAGCCAACAATTCTGGAATTGTCGAAAATGAAGGAAGAAATGCAAAGGATATTGCTATTACTATGTCACCAGTTTACATTCCGCCATCTAGAATTTCAAAATTAAAAAATGGAGAAGTTATAGATCATCCTTCAACGAAACGGTAAGTAACAAATAAAACTAATATTAATAATAAATATAAATTTAAAATAACATATTGGGATCTCTGACAGGGACACTGGCATGGCGTAGCAATTCGACCTATCTACTCTAATTTTGAATTTTGCCATCAGATAGCGTATTCAAGTGCTAGAGATCCCACGTGGCGTAGCAATTCAACCTATCTACTCTAATTTTAAATTTAGCCACCAGATAGCGTAATCAAGTGCTAGAGATTCCACGTAGCCTAGGAATTCGACCTGTCTACTCTAATTTTGAATTTAGCCAATAGATAGAGTATTCAAGTGCTGGAGATCCCAATATAACACAAAATGAATACTTCTGTTAGGTCATTAAATATGAAATGTCTGATTTCAAGATGAAAATAATCCGAGTAATCAGACATTTCATAATTAATAACCTAATATAATTAAATTATATTTTTCCGTATACTTAAATAATAATTATAAGTATATAATAAATTAATAATTAATTCGTAATATTAATATAAATGAAATAATAATAATAATTTATTAGATATTCAACAATAGATGAAGAATTATTAGCCAAATTAGATTCAACAAAATCAAAACCTAAACTACAAGACAGATTTCATCCACCAGCAAGTTTCGAACGTAATGTTAAACAACAAATAGTTTCATCAGGTTCACCACCCCCTATGTCATCAATGTCTGATACAAATTCAGATGTTTCATCAAGTTCAAGTATTTCAGGATATTCCAGACCAATATATGCTGGTCCTTATAGTATCAAAACTACTGATTATGATAAACCAAAGGATTATCTTATGGATAAACCAATTTCAAAACCAATTGGTATAAACAATTATCCTTCCATCGTAACAGATGATAAAGTATAATATAATATTTATTTATTCAATATGAATTAGGATGAAACAAAAGTTTAGAAATTTTTTTATATAATAATATTTTTTTTTTATAGTAAATTTTAGATATAAATATAATAATGTTTGTAAAGTAATATTTTACCAATAACAAACAAAATAAAAATATTATTTTTTATTAAATATTAAAAATATATATATATATATATATAATATTAATTAAATTATTTATAAAATTATCTAAAACAATAAATGCATGAACTTTTGTTTCACCCTAATACTATAATTAAATTAACTTAATAAAAGAAAAAATAATAATAATAATAATAACAATTAACTTATTATAAATTTATATATTTTTTAGCCAATGGATTTATTTCCAAATCATCAAACGGATGATACTAATTTTCCTAATTTTTCTTCTGAACCATCTTACGACGACCATGCTGCACCTAAACCAATCGAATTTGATAAACCAACATTTGATGATGATACTGATGATAATAATGATAATGATGATACATATCCTCGTGATCATGATCATTATCATAATCATAATCATCATGAAGAAGTGATTTATGATCACATACCAGAATATTATTATCATCATCCTCATCATCATTTTACTACTACACCTGAACCTGAGATGAATGATCAACGACTTGACAAACGACCATATTCTTATTATTTCATTGGCAAAAAATTATGGTACATACCACTTTATTTTAGTATTTATTTTATTGTTTACATTGCTGCATTAGTTTTGAAAAGTATAGCCAGACACAAAATTACATTTCCATCACATTTGGCTGAAGTTGCTGGACATGGTAGAATGAACAATGATGAATCATTCGATTGGTGGGATTTAACTAATCGTATTTTTAATGGTATTGAAGATTTTTCTGAAAGATTTGGCAAAGGATCACAATAATTATTTATAATAATTAGTTTTTTTTTTTTTTAATTTAAAAACCAAAACAAACATGACTTTGAATTTAAATTTGTTGCAATTGTTGTTGTTTTCTTTTTCTTTTTTTTTTTTTT